AACTTTTTTCTCTTGTACTTTAAAAATAAGTTCTGTATATTTATTATTCAGAATTATTCCATGGAGATATAAAAAAATCGTAGCTTTTTGTTGCTTCCGCCGAGGCTAAGCGAGCTCCTGCAGTTTCGCTCTTGTGTTATTGAGCTGCTTTTTTTTATTATTTTTCGCGCGCTTTCTGATTTCGGCGGGATCTCAATTTCTTACACCAGCGAGGTTAAATCGCTGTAATAAAAAAAAAAAAGAAGTCATCCACCGGCCTTTATAACGGGCTAATAGTAGGTACACTTGTGTAATTTGCTTCGTCACTTTTCTCCTTCTCCTGCATCGTCGCCCTTTACTCGCATTAGCGAAAGATTGCACCTGCGCTTTTTTTGCACTTGTGAGAATCATCGGCTCGATAATAGCGCGATAATTCGCGAAGGAGGGAAAAAGCGCGTCAAATTTAATTATTTAAAATGAAAAACGATGGAAAAAGTTTTTTAAATATCTATGTCAAAACGTTAGTTGAATACATTATTAGCTGAATATAAATCACACACTAGATTTATTTCGACCTGATATTAAAATTCCATTTCGAATATAAATTACACGAGATTAGAAATTACACATTATACATCGCTGAAAATTGAATCGTTGTCGCATCATCCGATATCATTTTCCCCGAGAGAAACTTCAAGTTTCTCTCTCGATTCCGCCTATATACAGACATCGATTCCCTTTGTGCACACAAAAGCCGCTCGATCGACATCTTCTCCTCTCGCATCGACTAAATTCGGATACACGCGTAGTACGTGAACAGGCACTTCGCGGAGGAATGCCCGGACTAGACAGCAGTACGATGCGTCGATCTAATAATGCGTGTAACCACAGGTAATCCGAGCTACTATCGATGACTAATACCCGTCTGCCTCGCTTACACCGACGCGACGCGACATTCACGTTCACGTTCACGTTCACGTTTCTCGCGTGCATCACGTAACGCTGCACATATAGTATGCGCGTATGCGAGCGAGCGCGCACGCATAATGCATATGGACGTTCGGCGGGCGACATATACCACCAGGCGGCCCGAAATCTCGTGGCACGGAGATAGGACGCCAGAGGCGGCGATATTATCAAATTATATACCTGCACTACGTATACACCGGCGGCCAATAATTCATCCATAATTCAGTTATCTAAATAGGACACCCGCGTCACAGACGCGTACATACACGGGTGACTTTCGCGGTATGCGTGAGTGTGCGTCAAAGCGGGTTGGATATGTATACGCGGAATGCATGGACGGGCGCGATCTCTGGTAGCTGTTGGAGCGAACAGCGAAAAATTCGCCGCACGGTCGCTCTCGTTTGCGCGAGTGTCGGGAGGCTCTGTCGATCGGAATTATATCGTCGGCTATTGTCCCGCCTTTTACCAAAAAGCAGCCCGCGCGGATATAGTCGCGCCTACGCGCGCGTAATAGTTTAGAGGCGTTTAATTATTCCGTGAATTATTATTTAGCGCGTTATATTAATTTCGTCTCTTATCCTCGCGGTTTTTTCAAAATTGTTTAAGGATGTTTTGCAGCTATTTTCAGAATATTGAGAATTTAATGAAAATTGTACAGAATGTCTTTACATATGTTTAGAATCTTCAGTACAATTTTTAAATCGATTCACAAGTTAAGAACTAGACATAAGAATTTTAATTTGCACCGAATTAACATGTGTTCTTATGGGAAACGTATAATCATGTCGATTCAAATGACAAAAACACATGGAAATAATATTCAGAATTTGCAAAAGTTTAGATACACATCAAATAATATTATACAAATAATATTATACAAGTACCAACTGGTTAAAAAGATATTAGATATAATTGAATGAAGTTAGCCATGTATCTGTCACAAGGCGAAATTCTCTGCCAAAAGTTAATCATTTCGATTAAGGATGTTTTGTAACTATTTTCAAAATATTGAGAATTTAATGAAAATTGTACAGAATATCCTTACATATGTTTAGAATCTTCAGTACAATTTTTAAATCGATTCGAGGTATGAGGATTTTAATTTGAACCGAATTAACATGTGTTTTTATGGGAAACGTATAACCACGTCGATTCAAATGACAAAAACACATGGGAATAATATTCAGAATTTGTTTTTAAAATTTGCAAAAAATACAGACGAAATATTTGGTCAAATAATATTATACAAGTACTAACTGGTTAAAAAGATATTAAATATAATTCAATCAAGTTAGCCATGTATCTGTCACAAGGTGAAATTCTCTGCCAAAAGTTAATCATTTCGATGAACAAAATTCAGAATATTTCAGTAAAAACATAATAAATATTAAAAAATACATCTCTGGTCAAATTAATATTCCACACAATTTCTTACTCAAAATACACTAAAAGTGGATATATTCGTCAATATTGATTTTCAGCTATTTTTTGCTGGGATTGCTGGCAACGGCTTTTGCACACGCCAGAAGGGTATATATCTCAAAGTAGCTCTTGACATTTTTTCCGAAAGGGCAGAAAATGCGCGAAATTGGAAGCCATCGATAATCAACGCGATATGCCAAATGTAATTGAAAATAATACTTTTAATGGGGTTGTTGTTTTTTTCACGCGGCTGTCGGGCTGCTTGAGTTATCGCGATGCATAATTTGTACGTTCGTTATTTATAAAATGTCACGGCATATGATGCTATATAATGTTAGCGGGGCTGGAAAGCGTTGCACAGAGTGTGTCAGGGAAAATCGGTTTATGATTTGTTTATACCGCGTTGATGAAAATGCACGTTGTTTCGCATTTATCGATAAATCACTCTCTTCGGTCACGCATAAAAACGAGAATAATTGAATTAAAATTAATTAACGCTAGAAACGTGGTCCCCGCATATGCGTCGTAAATGTCCTGCATTATTTGAATTAATTCCTAGTAATACGATTCTATATTGCCGCTAATTGCGGTGACTCGTAAACATGTCGAATCGAGTTTACGTGGATTTAATATCATCGCGCTGCGGATACAAATTACGGATCTCGCATTAACATATTTTTTACTATATAAACGCCAAGCTTTACCGTTCTGCATAATTCCTCTGTTTATGCTGTGCGTGGAACAAGCATTAAATACTGAAAATTTTATGAGACGGCGCTTAAAAATAAGGCAGATTGAAGCCTGATTTAATTTTTCTTTCCGAGCTGGTTTACGACGACGTGTTAGAAAATTAACGAGATCACGGTGCGCACCTTCGCGCACCGCTGTTCCATACAAAATTGAGAAGAGTCGAGAAATGGGATAGTCAGCGCGAAATAAGAGGAAAATTCATGGCGCGGTGAAGAAAAGCTTTCGATCGCGCAAGTACATAAACATCGGCTTTGTATATTCTATTAATATTGGCAAGGCGGCAGCTTCCTCGTAAGATTAATATTGGCGACGTGCCAATAAATTTATATGTTGCATGCGGGGTTTCGAGAACGGGAGGTGGGGCGGGGGGAGGGGGTGTATATCAGACACGAGAAACAACGGAAAATTTATGTAACTTCCGTTAATCCGCCTTTCTTTCCCATCGCGAAAAATTAAATTCGAGTGTGCAGGATAATTGAGCGCTAGTTTATTGGTAATTTGTTGCTTTAATCCTGAATTTATCGTTTCTATCAATTAGCAGGAAATTGATAATAAAGTGAAATCTTTCAACATTATGCTAGTTATTTAAGGATGTTTTGTACCTATTTTCAGAATATTGAGAATTTAATGAAAATTGTACAGAATGTCCTTACATATGTTTAGAATCTTCAGTACAATTTTTAAATCGATTCAAAGCGTTTACAAATTATAAGGATTTTAATTTGCATGCGAATTAACATGTGTTCTTAAGGGAAACGTATAACCACGTCGATTCAAATGACAAAAACATGTGGAAATAATATTCAGAATTTGTTTAAAATTTGCAAAAGTTTAGAGGAAATATTTGGTCAAATAATATTATACAAGTACTAACTGGCTAAAAAGATATTAAATATAATTCGATGAAGTTAGCCATGTATCTGTCACAAGGCGAAATTCTCTGCCAAAAGTTAATCATTTCGATTAACAAAATTCGGAATAGTTCAGTAAAAACGCAATAAATATTAAAAAATGCATCTCTGCACTGTAGCTAAGATCAAATTTTATAATATTCCACGCAATTTCTCATACTCATAATACATCAAAAGTGAATATATTCGTCAATATTGATTTCAGCTGCTTTTTGCTGGATTGTACAAAACATTCTTAAAACGAGAATTTTGCAAATCATAAACAAAGAGCGATCATGCCAGAATTAATTACTAATTAATTATTTACGAAAACGAGATGCTGCAAATAGATTTTCAAAATGTTAATGTTCTTTTTAATTTTTAGACACATCAACGCTGAGATAATAGTATAATTATTATGTAACAGTGTAAAATGATTACCAGTAAAAAGTTTCAACTCGATATCAAATTATTTCTGAATTAATTGTTACCGAAATATCTTAATTAATTTACATGCTTGCAAAATAAGCTTAAAACATGAGTTAATTAATATAGTTAACATGCGAGAATTAATTAATCTCATTGTCTGGAAATTTTTCACCCGTGAATATAATCATTGTTTGACATCTTTTACTCAGTTTTCATTTTTTCGTGTTCCTCTTTTCGTCGCTCGCATTTCGTAATTAACAATATTTACATTTAATGAATGCGTGCGTGCGTGATAAAATTATTTAAATGTAAAACTTGTCGAATCAATAATGTAAATAGTTACTCTAAAAATATCACGGGGGGCATTAATCATACGTCATTAGCCTTCGTGTTATTCTTACTCGAGACGAAACAATTCAACATAAAGGAAGGCAAAAATGCCGCGGCGAAAATATCTCCGGTTGAAGGGGTGAACTAATTAGATCGGCGAGACGAACACGACGCGCCGCGTTTGAGGAGGGATCCGCTAAAGAGTCACCGCTTGCCTTTTTATTTTTTCAGGGCAACTGAAAAGTCCACGGATAACCGAGCACCCGTCGGACATAATAGTCGCGAAAAATGAGCCGGTGACGTTGAACTGCAAGGCGGAGGGTAAGCCCGAACCGGTGATAGAGTGGTACAAGGACGGCGAGCTCGTGCAGACGTCGCCGGGCGACACCAAGTCGCATCGGGTCCTGCTGCCAACGGGATCCCTGTTCTTTCTGCGGGTGATGCACGGCAAGAAGGAGCAAGATGGCGGTGTATATTGGTGCGTCGCGCGGAATAAAGCGGGATCCGTCCCGAGCAGGAACGCCACTCTCACAGTCGCAGGTAAGAGAGCCCCCGACCGTTGTCATCTTCCTCGCCCTCGTCTTTCTTACATTGGGATTACGCGTACCGGGTAGCCGGGCCGTAACATCCCTCGTGAGATCACTCGTTAAACTCGGAACGAATCCCCGTGAAACGAGCTTCTCGCCTGGAAAGAATTCCACGACCCCCTCGCCCCCCGAATCTATCTCGATCAAACGGCGGCGCCTGACAATTCCGCCAAGAGCGACAAATAAAGCCGGGCATGCAAATCGGGTAGCGTCGACCTCGAGGTCGTTTTGTCGCGTGAACCGGCGCGGTATGGATTAGCCTTTGTCGCGATGCGATTAAGCGTATGTCCACCGGTCGGCCCGTAATTATTTTCCGCGCAGCTGTCAATTAGCTTAATCTTGTAGCGAGTATCGGACCGATAAGATACACCTCGGGTTTGTTCGCGTTATTTAAAAAATCGCCGCGAAATCGGGGAACGATACATTTGACGCGTTTCGCAAACGCGCGAAGCGGAAACGCGTAATTATTCGATCGCGATACACCTTTTCGCGCAGGTATTTTATTCGCGGGAATCACACGCTCGATGTAACTTTTCAATGTCGATTTATACGATTTATTTGTAAAGGCTTGTTAGTTTATAAATCGGTTCAGTTAACAAAATCGCTCTGAAGAATAGATATAATTTATCTGCGAAAAAAAAAGGGCGTAAAAAGCCCGATAAACGTAACTTTACATTCCACGGTATAAAAATTTCAAATTTTATATATCATCTCGTAATTTTACGCGGTGCATTTACTTATCTCGAAGTGCCATTCATCATAGTTTCCCTCTCTTTCCCACGATAATCTCATACACATTTTTCATCTACTCTTTATAAAATATACATTTAAATAATGGAGATTAATTATTGTGTTACGCAACAATGAACTTAACAAGAAGACAAAACATTCGCTTCTCGAGTATGCCACTTTTAGATTGCAAAAAACTGCACTCGTATTTAAAAAGTGATGCGCTGAATAATTAATGCGCGATGAAAAAAAAAAAAAAAATAATCGTACACAAATGGAAAATGTAATTCTCGCGCGAGGGGGGGCGAATAGTCGAATCTATTCTAGCGCCGGTTAACGAGCAAACGAATAAATTTCCCCCTCGAGGCGCGATGTCCGACAGCAAAAATTGTTGCATCCGCGAATCCATCCCCTTCTCGGAGCCCGATGTCTCTCGCCCGACCTCCGTGACCGAAGCGAACGCCGGTGACACTGGGCGACGACGGGGTCACCCGGACGAAAACGGACACCCCGTATATACGCGCGCAGGAAGGAATAACCGTGATTTATACGGGATAGAAGTCGACTCCTTCGACTAAAACGAGCCATGTTTGTTTAGAGGCGATCGATATCCCGGGCGACGCACCCTCGCCTCTGCCCCGTCCGTGGTATATGCCCGTCCGTCCGCCCGCTTGCCTGCCTTGCCTGCTTGCTTGCCTGCTCGCTTGCTCGCTGGCTGGCTGGTAACGACCGATTCGCTCGTCTCTCGCCTCTACAACCTACGAGCCTGACGATGCGACACCGAACGACGCCTATACTGGCGAAGAATGCACTTCGCCGCCGACGCGTTGCGTGTATATACGTGTATATACAAGGGTCCCCTACAGCAGGAGGGTATTGTGGCTTTCCTTCTCCTCGCTTCTCCCTCCTTTCGCTCTCGCGCTCGGGCTAATCCCGATTATGATCTCTCGAGAAAAGATGCCATACAAATTGAATTAGCCCGGGGAGTCGATGTAGCCTCCGAAATCGTCCGGAATACCGGGAAACATCTGTAAACTCGATTACTGAACGCGTCCCCGGTATAAAATGCGTCACGCGTTATTCGCCCGGTATGTCTCGCGTTTCGCGATTGAATCGTTTCCGCATTTTTACGTCGCATTTTCCGCGCAAAAAGCGCCGAGAGATTTATACGTATATGCGCGACTGTCGAAAAAAAAAAGGAAAAATGCAAATGCGCGGTACGAAAGATTTAAGAACGGTAATGGAGAATCTCGATAATGCAGAGCGCGAATCGCGCTCTCCCGCCGCTCGCTTTCATGTTATTACCTTTTCCGTAGGCTCGTTATTTCGAGTTCATATGTAACCGCCGTATATGTATTCCACGCGCACACGTACCGCAAGTGTGTGCGCTATATACGCGGATGCGCCCCCGCGCGTTTCACGTTTCGCGTACGCGAGCATCGGTTACGCCGGTGCATCCGAGCCTCGTAATTTATAGAACACGATATCGCTCGTTAATTGCTTATTGTAATACGCGCAGCTATCCGTAACGTGCATTTATGCGACAGCGCACGTTAAATATGCAGTCGTAATGGGAGTGCTTAGCGGGGAGCAAACCGGAACGGACCGTTCTATCTCGCGAAGCCCCGGAATCTCCAGAATATTGATATTGCATCGCAATAAAATTTCCGTCCAGGCATCTGTGCCGTAATTATTCGCGTGCCATAATGCGAGGTCCCCCCCCCGTGCGCATTCAAAGCGAGTGTCATAGTGCTAAATCTGCCTCGGATGATTTTCGTTTCCCCGCATTATATTCATTCTACGCGAAGCTCTTTCCCCCTCTTTTAGATTAATTATCGCACTGAGAAAAATCGTTTGATTGTGCCAACGTATATGGTTGAAGGCATTTTGATTGAATCAAATAAGAATTTCTAGTTATCAGAATAAGACTCGATTTTTTTATAATTAGAATGTTTATTTCTTTGCCGCTTTTTAAGGAAATTTGAAGATGTAAGGATCTTTCAACTGTATGCGTGGCTTTGTTTGAAAAAAATTTTAATATAAATTTTATCTAAATTGCAATATATTTTAATATAATTTATCTATTATTTAAATTATATTTTAATATAATTTAGCAATATATTTTAATACAATTTATCAATATTTATTTTCAATATAATTTATCAATATATTTTAATATAATAATATATTGCAATTGTACACTCAGAAAAATCATAGATTCATAGATTTTACTATAAGGATTTGGTTAATATTTTCTGGTTGAATCTATCAAATTTCTTGTTACATAAATTTCTTTGCTTGCTTCTTAACTTAACTCGTATTCAACATTTGCCACGAAATGTATATAAAAAACTAGTATTAACATCCAAAGTATATTTGTTTTCTCTTACGAGCAGTAGTGCCAGAAAGAGGACGCTAGCTCTCTGATTGTGTGTGTTTGAAGTGCATCCTCTTCTTGCATCACTGTTTATCACTGTTTATCTATAATTTCTAACAAACTGAATTTAAAATAATTTAAGGCCTATTTACACATATCCGTGACGTATCAGTGTCGTATCCGTTCAGTTCTGTGATTTTTCGTCAGTATCAGTGATGATAAATATCGTTCCTTTGTTTTTAGATGGACGTGTTTACGCAGTATCGTATTCGGATCGTTCAGTTTCAGTTCAGTATCCGCATAGTAATATTGTGTTTATTGCAAACGATATTTTTGTTTTTTCACGAATACATTACGACGGTCAGTAAATTTATTTATAGAGTATTGGATGCCAAGCATATCACTTGGATCAAATCGTGGATTTAGATAAAAGTGAAATATTATATTGTATAATTTTACGGTAAAAGTTTACAGTAAAATTATGCTTAATATAATATTTTATTTGCATTCAAATCCACATCTTGACTTGAAGAAAGTAATTTGCTTGACATGGAAAAATCTTTATAAGCTTATACCTATATTTATATAGACATTTTTAGACTTGTAAAAATGAATGATGAACAACTTATTGAATTAGTGCGTCAATATCCTGTGCTATACGATTTATCGCATCCTAAATATAAAAAACTCAGCCATCTTGAAAATCACTGAGTTCAAACTGATCAAATTACGGATATACGTGAATAATTATCACTGATACATTGTGGATGTTACTGACACGACACTAAACTCACACGTCACGGATATGTGTAAATAGACCTTTATTCAATAATCTGGATTGAATTTATGCAATAAATCTTGTTGAAATTCAGAATATTAAACAGACTTGAGATTAGATGGAAAAAATTTTAAACGACTTGATACTGGCGAGTTTAGTATTATTAACTAGAAAATTTGATAAATTTAACAAAAAGAAATTAATCAGATTCATCTGGTAATTCCTACAAGAATTCTGGTTCGTCCATTTTCCAACAAACATACCAGAATTCTAATTAATGCAACCAGATTTTTTTCTCAGTGCGTCTTCCAAATTAGACACCGAATATTAATAATAAATTATCGCGCGAGCAAGAGCACTATAATGTATCCAATGAAATTTGATCTCGCGTAAAGTTGCAGTCGAGGAAACGGTTAATTATTTTTCCCTCGTGAAAGGCGAAGAAAGACACGAGAGGAGGATCTCTCGCGTTGCGTTTCGCAATTTTAAGCGTCAAGCCTCGCCTTTCTCGGTAACTAGATTCGCCAAGTAGCCGTCTCCTCGCGTCCCTTTGTTGTTTTTGCCGCACAGCTCGCATCGGCCCTCTCTTTTTCTCTCCCCGTCTCCCCTCGTGCAATATAAATAGGCCCCCGAGATCGCCGCGCAACAAGCGAGCCCCCTTCTCGTCCTGCGCGGAACATCGCGGAGACAGGCGGACACGGCTTCTCGATTCGGGCTATCGCGTATAATGCATAGCTGCTTACCGGCGTTATAATGGCAGCTTACGCACAATAGTCAAGTACCCCGCTCGCCCCCATGAGGCCCCGGCCATGGGCGCCGTCTTTCTTTTTTTCGCCGCATCGGCGTGGAATTCTTTTCAGTCGGACCCGACTTTTTCTCTCGCCTCCGTTTATCCGCCTCGGAATGTTTCGAGAGATACGCCTCTAAGGCTCGAGATTAGAATATTTATGTATTCGCGCTCTCGCGCTTTTGCCTGCAATATTTTACAACGTATTTATCCGCTTCTTACCGCGTTTTATAACACACGCGATGACGTAATCTCGCCGCGCGCTTTCTCCAAATTTGCATA